GTGTACGAGTGGAGGAGATCAGATAAATATGGAGGAGAGGTTATGAAGCGCTTTGAAGGTAAGAAGCAGGAGGTGAACTAACGGAGCTGTTTAAGCACAGATATGTTCAGCCGATCTGTCCTGATACAAGACGAGCAGCTGCTTTTTGAACAAACTGCAGTTTGTGGACAGACTCATGATCACAGAGAAGAGAATCACAGTAACCTAAACGAGATGTGACAAGATGTTTGGAGTGAGTGAAGGCCGAAGGCGGTTCATATTACGAAGATGAAAATATTTATGTGCTGTGAAGGAAAGAGCCAGGATGACCCCAAGACTCTTACCTGAGGGGAAGGTGTGACAACAGAGTCATCGATGGATAATCAAAGCGTTTCTTAAATGTAGAAAAACTACGGAGCCCCGCAGGGGACATGGGAGAAAAAAAAAGAGATCTCGGACTTTTGCGAGATCTCGCAAAACAAACTCGGGATCTCGCAAAAGTTTTAGCCGCTTTCTTCGGAGGCCGCCAGCTCGAAGCCGACTGGGAGGTCGAAGCACGATGTGCCGGGAGAGCGGTGTTCCTCCCGGCTGTAGTAGGTCTCGACCTCCCGTTAGCTTCGAGCTAAAACTGCGGCTAAAACTTTTGCGAGATCTCGCAAAAGTTTTAGCTGCATTCTTTGGAGGCCGCCAGCTCGAAGCCGATGCGCTAGCTCACGTGGTTGCAGAGCTACCGGGATTTAAAAATAGTTACGCAAAACGGAGCGTGCTGCTCTGATCGGTTTTAAAGGGTTAAGGACTTGATTGTGCAAACCTGAAGCTCAAAGGTCTTTCGTTCTTTCATGCAACTGTGTTTTTCCTTCGGACTCAGCAAGTGTCCTAATTTGCATCTGAAGCACACTTTGCATTAACAGGATCGACTCACCCTGACGATGTCCAGCTCCTCTTTTGTTGCCGCCTGTTGTTTTTCTAGCCTGGTGCTCAGCTGGGAGCAGATCTGAAACCCAGAGAGGAAACCTGGTTATGTTTGACTTGCATATATCAACGTGTGCAGTTCACAGGCTGTACATGAGAAGACGCCAGCAGACCTGCTTGTATTCAGCTATGATTGCTGTGGTTTTCTTGATTTCCAGCTCTGCTTTTTCCAGCTCCCTCCTGAACACCTCCTTCAGCTGGGACAGAAAGAACAAGATGTCAAAATTATTCTTTTAAAACGACAAACTAATGAGAAAGATGTGCTGACTGTGCATAACGACACGAGGTGTTCGACTCAGTAACTTTACCTGATTCGCTCTTTTAGAGCCTGCTATGTGATCTCTCACTGCTACCAAACTGGGATTTTTTATTTACTGGGTGTGTTGATGTGTAACTGGTTCACTATTACCAATTACACAGAAAGAAAATCAGCCCTAGATCAATGCGTGAGCTGGGGCCCCCTGGTGGGCTGCACAGGTACTGCATGTGGGCCACAGTAACAACAGAAATTCAGTTCAACTTATTTATATAAAAAGTGAATATTATTATTGTGATATTACTTAAATGTAATGCTCTGTATTGACCTTTGTGTCCCAGTGGCAGGGTTAGGACATACAGGGCTTTCTCTTGCATTTTGCTCGGAGCAGAAGCGGGGGAGCTCCAGGCCTCGAGGGCCGCTGTCCTGCAGGCTTTAGATGCATCCTTGATCCGACGGTAATGAACTCACCATCTGATTCAGGTGTTGACCCAGGGTGAGATCTGAAAGCTGCAGCACATCGGCCCTCGAGGCCTGGAGTTCCCCCCTCCTGCCTTAGAGCGAAGATTTAAGACTGGTTGGCTGATTTTTGGGGGCCGCAGCGCTCTTGACTTTGGCCGATTTCGATCAGTGATACAGGGCCTGCGTTATTTGATCACTGCTGTGATTGCACAGCTTACTCTGGTGTTTTCTGGTCACTGATGTAACCTGTTAAGCGTGGTTCATCGCAGCAGTGTGGACGTTACCTGAGCCGTCTCCTCCTCGTGTCGCTTCTTCTCCTCCTCCGTCTCCACCAGACGCTGCTTGGTGGTCAGCAACTCTTTGTTCAGAACATCGGCCTTGTCTTCTACCTGAGTGCACACACACACACACACACACACACACACACACACGTGTGCATATTTGTGTAAAGATGTTCACGGCTAAAGCACGTGTGTAAACAGCTGCGGTTTCAGAGTGTTTGGAGGTTTCGTAGACTTTTTCTTACCTGGTCAAGGTCGTTCCGCAGGGCGATTTTACTGGTGACCAGTTCGTGTGCCAGGTCATCGTTCTCCTGTTCAAGTCGCATGCTGGCCTCCTGAAGGCGACGGTTCTCTCTCTGCGGACATCAAACGCACACAATCGCAAACACTTGTAAAGCAGGGGTGTCAAACACAAGGCTCGCGGGCCAGAATCGAGCCAGAAGAAAACTCCAGTCTGGCCCCAGAAGGAAACTGCATTTCCACATTTTTACAGCTTTCGCTACATTGATGCCAAAGTCAATAAATATTAGAAAAA